CATTGAACATAAGAGATTTTATATGTGGTGGATCGTCGTTTCGACTCTGCCCCGGCCTCATCGGTACCCCGTTACACCAAACAGGCGAGGGTAACAATAAGGCACAGGACAGATGGTGTTTTCAAGAATACCATCGCCACACCTCATTGACAGAATCTTAAGTGAATAAATTGCTTCATATGCTTGTCTAATATTTATTGTTATTATGAAAGTATACTCGAGTAGAATACATTCTCTATCTCGCAAAATTCATTTCTTATGAATATATATGGTTAGTTTTATTAAAATTTAAACTAGAAATATTTATTAGATTTCCTAAGATGCTTGCTAAATTACATTATTGGAGAAAGCTTAACATATTTTTAGCCAAACACAGACTACTTGTGGCCGTAGAATGGTGCACCAAGAATTTCCTTGCTTAAGTAAACAAATAACTGCAAGGCACTCTTTGTTGAGCTTTCAGTGAAAAGTTCTTATGCCAAATAATTTAAACAGAAATGACGGCAGTTATAATTGGCATACGCCGGTCTAACAGATGATAAATAGGCTCCAAACTTTACTCAAAAATAATTTTAAATCAACTAGCTTTGATGCAGAATTGAATAAGGATAAATATTTTGATACCCATTTCAAATCTAGTCCCTCTTAAAAAGGTTAGTTAAAGAGGACCTATCATTCATCTTTTAATGAGAATACCGTTGACTCCCTGGGCTAAATACATAAGATGGACATAGAATGGATACTTAATTTTAGTTTGAGCACACATGGCTAAATGGAGCTTGGCATTGATAGCCATTGTGTGGATGTGTACGATATAATGTCAGCTAAGACGGGTTTATGGACATTAAACTTAAGCTACCAGAAGAAATTGAGAATATATTTTGAGAAAGTGATTTTATGAAACATTCCATTGAAGTGAATCTGTCACTGTCCTCGTTTTTTTTACCGAAATCACAGCAGAATAGGCTGAAAATAGGGCCTAGTTTGTGCAGCACACCTCTTCAAAGCATGGTGTCCTAAATTAACCTAGCTCTCTTTTTAGGACCTAAATAAAGCAATATCTTCAACCATTACCTAAGTCAAAATTTGGGGAGATTAAATCATAATCCGCTGGGGAACTTTCTTTTTTATTTATTTTGCCATTAATGGATAACTTGGTTTTGTAGGCTATGGTGGAATAAATGAGCAGATGCCTGGTTCATGATTCGGCTGGAATATCTGTTCTCGATCTCAAAAATAAGCATCGTGAAACAAATTGAGATTAAGTCGTTTAAAATTACACGTTGAACTCCAAGGGTTGATTAAGATAAGCGCTGAAATGATCATACACATTGTTGAATCATCTTCCAAGATGTCGGATATCTTAATTTACCCGTAAGTCACTTGCGTCACTGCCCAAATACACGCTATCATGAATAAGTTTGCTGTATATGCAATATCGAACCAAGATTCTAGGGGAGAAATACCTACAATTCGCGGAAGATAATACTTTCTCAAAAAAAGAAGGGACCATAACTAAATATGATTTGGTACGAGATTCGCCAATTTTCGTGGAAAGATTATAGTCGCATTTAACTCGAAATGGCTAGATAACATTCATATATGTTTGCCGATGGAAAACTACCATATATATATATACATTTATGCGATTGAGACACAATGGAACCAAGTGAGCTCGGAAAAAAAGGAATTATCGCACAATGTATGGCCACCTTCGCTCCGAATCATCAGTTAAGGAAAGCATGTTGTTCGGGCAGTAACTAAATGGGGAAGATTATATTATTTTACTTTAAATTCATCATCCATAAATTCGTTGTTACTTATTTTGCGGGAAACACATATTTCCACGAAGGAGACCATTACCTTCGTGTTTTTGAGAGAACTTGGGCTAAGCATTTGCTCTCCGTTATCTAATAGGCAGTCTATTGGGCTCCATACTAAATGTCCTTTCTAGTGGTAAATCGCTTGCACACACACACACACATATGCAGAGACGAATGCAAACACAAGAGATGAAGCTGCAGATACTATATTTTTGGTTGCCCTGTGAGTACAACCAAGTTGCAGACTATCTGTGCTTCACAAAGTTTAATGAAGGAAGCTAAAGTGGGAAGAAGTGCGTAAGTAGTACACAAATAAGCTCATACACAAAGAAATACACATATTTACGGAAGAAACATTCAAGTAGAATAGTTAACAATTCACCTTCAGTTCCTTGGTGAGACCAAGTTATTGATACCTTGTTGGAAACTTTTAAGTCGTAAGTAAGACCTTAGGGATACACAAAAGCTTGGGTACCTTATCAATTTCAACTAGGATCATCGAAAAAAACCTTATGCAAATTGTGTTTCCAGAAGATGTGTGTTAATGCTGTTTGAGTTTATCCTAATCTTCAGCACATTCCTTATTGTTTCTGAGAAATAACCATTAAGCCTTAGTTTTGATTTTATGATTTACCTCCAAAATAAGTACCTCTTTCTGATTCTTTATCCCTTGACATGTTAAGTCATGGATTCAGCCCAGGTGCACAAGAGTGAGCAGCAATTCACCTACGTTTGCAGCCCAGATCAAATATGATGTTAAAGTGATATTATTTTTTTATCTGCTCGAAGTACTTATTCACACTTTAGTTCTAGTCACGATAGTAAGCATGGTCAATGAGAGGCGCCAATCATAGTATCAAGTAATAGCTAACCAAAGTAACAATAAAATCAACCTCTAAACCTAATTTCTGCCAAACGATTGTGGTTTGGCTGTCCTGGTGTCTATGTCTAATCCCTATACTCGTATCTAACTCCCGCTCTATCGCAACTCTTAGCCTGTACGAACACTCATATTTATACGAATAAAGGTTTATTTTACTGTCCATAATCTCAACATACAAACACCATCACCCCGAATTTTCACATGAAGGGAAGGTACAAAGTAATTTCTATCCTGAATACCAGTCTAGGATTAGCTATTCCTCTAGCCATTGGGGGAAGGAAGCCAGCATAAATAGTGATTATGCCATAGTAGATCCTCTTCTAAGAGCCTAACGCTGGAATATTTTAGAATAAACAAATTAGACGCTATGATAGAAGAGTTGGAGGTGGTTGGATGCATCAGGACGAGAGGAAAGATATAGCACCTGACATAATACTAAGAGTAGCAAGGCTCACTGACAATCCTGACCAAGCATATGTGAATTAACCAAGTCAAGGATCTGTTACTAAAAATTGTTTAGAATGCTACAGCAGCGAAATCTGGGGAAGGTGCTTTCATCGAGGTTGCCATGACAGCCAGATCAAGTTGCGTCAGAGAGGTTAAACCATTTCAATGGAGTGAAGGAGAACTGCGACTAAACTAGATTCCACACCAACTTGGTATTCATACTTACGATCTGGGTAGACAAACTTTATGTACCTGGAAGTTCGATGCTGCCATATAGCGCCAGGCCTCTGGCTGTTGGTCGGTTCCCGCTGGGTAGCTCCAGCTGGAGAGAGCAAGACAGTCTGGACACTCCTTGGGATGGCGCAATTCCTCTAGCGATCTGGAAAAGCTGTTTGTCCATCCGTCGGGATTGCCAGGCTCCAAGGATGACGGCGGCATCCTAGCCGGTGCTAGACATGGCGACGGAGACCTTCCGAGGCCATGTTCAAATGGCAAACCACTTTTAGCTTGCAGTAGGGGGTATGTCGGACGAGCATAGTTGTCATGACGATGGAACGTGATCGGATGGGCCGGATTGTGCTGGAATTGCCGACAATGTGGGCAATGTAGAGGTTGTAGGTGAAGATTCTCTCCAACCGAGCCCTGCCATTGGGATTTCGTGCCGCTCGAGTAGGCGCCCTTAAAATATGCGCTTTCTGGAAGTCTGAGATGCGAGGGTGCGCACCGCTCCATCAGGTCTGGAGAGACTCGGTTAGAGCCGATAGCCATGGCCGTCTGCTGTTGATGGTGGGCCAGTGTTGGCATCATCCATCGGTACTGCCCGATGGTCAGTCCGGCCGAACGGCAAATGCGCTTAACGACCTCCCGGCCGATCGTCAGACAAGGCGCCAGAAAGAGATGGGCTTCGTTCTGTCTGGCCGGGCCTGCAGAAGCCCTTTTGGCCTCGGCCATGAGTACAACGAGAGGCGGTCGAGGCAGATGTGAGTTCCGCAATAGCCAGTCGGTCAGTCTGGCCTCGATCTTTTGTAGACTCGCCTCGGGCACTTGGCACCGTCGTTCTGTCGCCTTGCGCAGGTAGGCATAGCAGAGACCTGGCCGAAATCCGGCCAGACCGCCGCCGCCGCCGGAAGTGGCTGGCGTCCTCGGAGTGACGACCTCCACGCAATAGCACTGGCAGAAGACGAGCCGGTCGGTGGGGAAGACCTCGGCAGAAAGGGTGACATTGTGTCGGCTTGAGGTGCGGAAGTAGACGGCCACCTGTTGCGAGTCGCGGATGCTCAACTCGGCCAGTGCCCAGGGTCCTGAGTAGACGTCCTCGAGGTAGGCGTCGCTGGCCAACATCATGTCGCTCAGCGCCGCAAGATACCGACCGGTCAGCGTCTGCTCTACACCATCCAGACCGCCGGTATTGGAGACTGGCGAACGGGGAAGCAAGAGTTTGCCCAAATAGGGTAGGGTGAAGAAGCCACCGGAATACGTTGGTCCGTCCATCAGAACGGCCCTCTTCAGCTGAGGAGTCGACGAATGCCAGACTGGTCAAACCGGACAAGCCAGAGTCTGGCCTAGTTTGGCTGGAATAATTATACGGCTACGACCGAATCAATCACTGGCTGTGACAACTTCGTAAAATCATGTGACAACATGGCTAACAGAACTGTCAGCAAGGCTCTTGGCCGAATATATGCTAATCACTTTTGGTGAAGATGGCGCCAAAAGATGAAGACAAATCAGGCCTAGATGGTGCATGGTACGTAGAACTATTATAATAATGTATTTTATCGACTTCCCTGGCTAAGCATGCAAGAATGCTAATTAAATACTAACCTTGTGAGCATTATTTCATATCCCAACAGGATGACGACCGATAGGCTCGATACATGATACAAAATATTCATTATTCCGAGAATATGTACGAAGAAGAG